CTTTTTTGCACACATGAAATTGATTTTGAGGATTGTTTTTTCTTTTCAAAGTACAAAAATTCGAAAAAATTCATAAAAAGGATAAATAATATAATAACTAGCATAGGAATATGTGCTAGTTCATGTGATGATTAATTTTTTCCGTTGAAACAATGTTATCTACATATTATTTAGATTGATATTGATAGAACTTAAGTAGGTAAATTTATTTCTGTTAGAACCAAAAAGATTAGATACATTTTATGATTTCCCTATTATTGTTCTTCTTAATCTTCTGTTGGTATTTTGTTGTTCACATTTTTCTTTTGAATAACCAACTGACTATGGTGAAAAGTAAATTTTGATAGTGCAAGCAGATGTATCCATAATTTAAAACAGTCGAGTTTGCAAGGCATTATGTTATAGAGTTCATAATTTGTAGGTATTACATATCCATAATCATTTAAATCGGGTTAAAATGCCGATTATTTGCAAACCATAGAATATTTTATATTATTAAATCATTACCGTCGAAAAATAAGGCCAGAAGGCTCTGACCTAACAGTATGATACGTTTTGAAACTAAGGCGGACGTGCTACAATATGCTACAATTTTACATAATTTAATTTACGTATTCATAAAAGTAATTGTAAAATATAGAGTTTTCTTTATATTTTAGCCGTATACCGTCGATTTTACACAATCCAATTTTTGGGCAATAAAGGCAGAAATTATCGTATAATCTCTCGTGTTTGACAGTTTTATTTTACTTTTCAATTGACACATTTGAATTAGATTTGAAATTTTGCAGATTTGTTGGGCTTTTCTGAGCTTATTTTATGTTATTTATTATTTATTCTAAAATTGGATTTGTTCAGGGGTAGTACATCTAGAAGAATATTTTGCCAAAACTTAGAGTAACATAGCCATTAATGCAAATCCCCCCCAAAAAAAGACTGTAAAATAGTTTGTTGTGCAGCATGTGGTAGATCTCTAGATAAGAACTAATTATTGACAACAATGACAACGTAAAACAACACTAACAAATTATTGAGTCTACCCTACATTATAAATGAGAAATGTTTTGTATGATAAATCGGAATTAAGTCAGCCATATAATCATACAGGGTGGCCCATCGAAAACGTTCCGCAAGGCATAACGGCCAGGGTAGTTTTTTTTCAGAAAATTCAAAAACACGTCAATTTTGTTTGTGAGGGGGACAACTTTTGCCCCAAAAATGATTGCAAAATCTTCAACCCTCTAAGCGGGGGTGTCATTCCCCAACTTTTTTTTTAAATAGGAAGGGGGGTCAAGTGGCGCCGCAATGAAGAGAGCTTTCTATTCTCTATATTTCCCCGCTTCGTGTTTGAAAATCTGTGGAGTCGTTGAGAAAATATGAAGGGATTGAAATTTGAAAAGTTTATTTAAACATTTATCAGAGTAAATGATAAGGATAAATTCCTTCCACCAATTTGCTGTTTTTTCTTATTATTTCTAGATGTTTACGCATTTTTTCACTTGCCACAAGGTTGAACGATCAGGTGCGGTAGTTGCTAGATAGCTGTTCTGTCACTTGTACATTGAAGTTCTTCTCGATATCGTTAAACTGACCTACAATAGAATTTCCAAAAATACCAGCCCACACGTTCACTTTCTGAGGGTTCCATGTATGTAACTCGTGAAAAACCCTGTATTCCTCAGCCCAGTACCGACAGTTGTGCCGATTAACTACACCGTTCAAAAAGAAAGTACACTCATCCGAAAAACACACATTACATAGGAAATTATTATCATTAGAATTAGCTACTCGTTCACTCATAGTTTCCAAAATTGCAAGCGACGATCAAAATTGTCTTCGTTGAGTTCTTGTACCAACTGAATTTTGTACGGGTGGAACTTGTGTTTTTTTAATATCCTTTGGACACTTGTACGATTCACGCCGGTCTCATTGGTTTATTTTCTTGTACTCAGCGTACTATCCATGGGAACTTGGCTCAATACGAATACCTCCATAGCTTCATTTACTACAGGATTTTTCCTCTACCTCCTTTTATTCATAACGGAACTAGTTTCGCGAAATTTTGCTACTAACTCGCGAACAATTTTGCCATAAAGGTGTTTGTCAGGATAGCGTTTATTGAATATCTGCACAACCCGATTGCCACATTCATTATTTTTAAAATAAAGTTCGATTATTTCCACTTTTTCTGCAAGTGAGTACACCATAATTGTTAAAAAGTTTAATGATATTGAGAAGAACTTCAACGCATAAGTCATAGTCACTACCGCACCTGATCGTTCAACCTTGTGGCAAGTGAAGAAATGCGTAAACATCTAGAAATAATAAGAAAAAAAATTGGTCGAAGAAATTTATCCTTATCATTTACTCTGATAAATGTTTAAATAAACTTTCCAAATTTCAATCCTTCATATTTTCTCAATGACTGGACCGATTTTCAAAAACGAAGCGGGAAAGTATAGAGAATAGAAAGCTCTTTTCATTGCGGTATCACTTGACCCCCCTTCCCATTTAAAAAAAGATGGAGGATGACACCCCCGCTTAGAGGGTTGAAGATTTTGCAATTATTTTTGGGGCAAAAGTTGTCCCCCTCACAAACAAAATTGACGTGTTTTTGAATTTTCTGAAAAAAAAATTACCTTGGCCGTTACGCCTTGCGGAACGTTTTCGATGGGCCACCCTGTATAATTCTCCTATCCCGTTCCATATTTGGACCATTTTTTTGATTTCGATTTTTCAAATAATATACATAGGCTTGACTTTAAAATAACAATAATATTTTAAAGATTTTATAAAAAACGGCAATACATATTTTTTTATCTCCCTCTTTGATATCTATTCGGTTGATTTAAACATATTGAATATAAAAGTCGACTTATAATCCTTAACTTATAAACCAAATTTCAGCTTTTAATATGCCGAATTTATGATTTAACCAACCAATGCTTATCCAAGATCATGTTTTTGTTAATTTAATACATGTTTTATTTTTTATCTCGAAAAAAAATGGAGATTGGTAAATCATAAATGTCTAACATACCATGGCCGTAAATCACCCTGTATAATATGGATTATACAGGGCGTTTTAAAAAACATGTACCATCTATTGTGAGGAGATTCCTCACGTAAAAATAAGATTTATTTTCCATATCAGCATGGGTCCGATTCTGCTTTGTTTCGTAGTAAAACACGTTAACGAAAGTCGATTTATTTTATCTGTCTAAATCAACCGATTGGATATTACACAGGGAGAGCAAAATTATTATTTATTTCCGTTTGTTATAAAATTGCTCAAATTTTTGTTATTTTAATTTCAACCCTATGTATATTATTTAAAAAGTCGAAACACAAATAAAATTGCTTTTTAACGATATATCACGCTCCTATACCTAAATCTTCCGGTTTCTCAGTAAAGCCATTTAAAAGATAATAATTCTATTATAATAATTGTTTCGTTTAAAGAAAATCGTTGCTATGACAAATATTCAAACTTTATAAGTATCCTTGAAATGATACTATAATAATAGAATGGTTAATTTTTTAATAGCTCTACTTAAGAAATCGGAAGATTTAGGTATAGGAACATGATATATCATACGACCGAGAAAAATCAAAGGTTTTTCTTGATTTAAGTAAAAACAATCTTCGGATTGTCACGGGGTTTCTAACAAGATACTGTCTCCTCAACGAACACCTCAGTAGGCTGAAACTGAGAAACAACGGCGAATGCAGATTTTGTGGGAAAAATGGGGAAACACCAGAACACCTTATCACTGAGTGCGCCGAGATGACGACCATTCATGCCATGAACCTTAGTACGTCTGATGTCGAGGATGGAGAGCTGGCCTCTGTGGAGCCGTCTCAGATACTGGCTTTTGTTAAAGCCCTGAGACTGTATGATGTGTTATAACTCGTTATAACTCAAGAAAGGGGAACACACAATAGATCTATAAGGTCGCGGTGATTAACTACCCTTCTAAACATTCTACATTCTACATGATATATCGTGGAAAAGCAATTTTATTAGTCCTTTGCTTTTTTAAATAATAATATACATAGGATTGAATTTAAAATAACAAAGATTTGAGCACTTTTAAAACAAACGGAAATAAACAATATTTTTGCTCTCTCTGTGTAATATCCAATCTGTTTATTTAGACAGATCGAATATATCGACTTTCGTTAACTTATAACCTAAATTTCATCTTTAAAAATGTTTAATTCGTGACTTTACCAATCCTTATTCACGATCATGTTTTTGTCAATTTTAAACATAAAAAATGTCTATACCTATGTGGCGGATCCATCTCTCCAAAAAAAACCTTTATGGATATTTTGCCACTGCACTGCAAGAAAATTTACAAAATAAAATAGTTATTTTTTGTAAAGTGCTTACAAAAAATATTTTTTTATAACAGATTTTTTTGGAGAAATTTTAAAAATGTTTTATTTTTTATCTCAAAAATTATTAGATGTATAGTATATTTAACAAAACTTTGGTTGCACGTCATCAATCATGCGTCGTTTTAGGGAGTTTGCTGGTGGTCGTATTATGATGTGCAACCAAAGTTTTGTTAAATATACTATAGGTATAGGTTAGTATAACAGAAAAATTATGAGATATGAAAGAAGTTTCTAAAAATGTAATAATATACTGGGTGTTCCATTTAAAATAAGAGAAATGCTATCACTTTTCAAATAATGCGACAACACCGTAATGCTGAAAATATTTTAGAAAGAAGGAGCAGTTGCCTATATGTAAAAATCCAAATTTTCAAAAGAATTCTATCACCCGTTTTCCAACATGCCATCGCCGTGAATCACCCTATATAAAACCTTCTAACACATAGTCGATTAAAATAGTTTTTCCTCTTTGTTTGTTCTAAGTGCCTTTTCCCATGGAAATAAATATATCATCAACATATTATGCATTAATTTTTCCTTGTTTTTTTTTAACTGAGAAAGAAGAATTTGAAAAATATATTTTCCTTTTTACTTACTTGTTTTCGCGTAATCCAAGCATGCAAGTTCAATATTTCCATATTCAGCTTCATCTATTATTTTTCTATCCACGTTATAACCCAGCTCCTCCTTCAAACTCTTATACAAATTCTCTGCATCTCTGTCAATTTTCAGTTGTACGATTTTAACGGCAAAGTTTTTATTGTTTTCACGTTCGTACTCATCCGGGACCAATTCAGCCGATGGCTTGAAAACGATAGGTTCCAATTGCACAACTTTCGGTTCATATGGATATTGACCGATGCTACTTTTTCTACTATCTATTTCGGCAGTAGAATTTGTCCTAATTCTACAACGATCTGCATCCATGATTAGGAGCAAAATAAACGATATATACTGGACCAAGTCGAGTTAATGCAGCAACGCAAGGTAATCTGATAAAACGTTTTATCAAACAAAATCCAGTTAATTTTTACACAGCTCACATGGCGGTTATCAATAAAAACGATAAGATTACATATCGATGTATTCTTTTTATTTTTTCAATTGCATATGAAGACAAGTACATATTTTTTATCTGATAAAGATTATTTAAAGAATCCTTTTTACATTCGATTAACCAATTTAAAAGATTCTTAGAAATTTGATTCATGAAAATTAATATTCTCTATTTTTAAAAACGTATGTAATTGTTCGATTACAGTTCGAATAAAGAAATGTAAATATTTTAATCTATTCGAAACTCGAAGATATTTCTCAGAACTTACGACCCAAAAAAATAAAAGATTTTCCTTGATTTAGGTAAGAACAATCCTCAGATTATCACGTCATTTTTTAACAGAACCCTAGATCAAAGAATATATCAAGCCCTTAACCATAATATGATCTAGGGCTTGGTATATTCTTTGTATATATTTTCAGGGCCGGCAGAAGGAAAATATTGAGACCGGGCGAGTACCCTATCTGGCGCCCCCCCCCCTCCTTAACAGTTATTATAACTCTCTTTGTCCTTCAGTCTTATACTATAACTACAAAAAGCATATTTATGCTACTTTAACAAAAAATTTTCACTTAAAGATACTTCAAAATTCTTCTCTTCGTTCAATCTTAGTCTGCGATTGTTGTTTTTTCTACTAAATTTTTTTATTTTTTTAGATAAAAAAACGAGTTTTGGTATGTTAGTATATGACATATATTAGGTTTGATTGACGTATTCAATGGTTTTTAGTCACTTTATGTTTGACCGGAAATGACTAAAACTTTTATTAATGCACCCTCGGTATATTTCTACTTTATTCCAAAAGAAAATAACATTCTGAGTAGAATGGCATATCATATGTCAACTTTTGACATTTTCGCTTAAAAGAATCGTATTTTAAATTTTAATCTATAGTGCCAGGGCTGTGTTAAAAATAAACAAATTATAGGGGGAGAAACTTCTGAGACGCACTTGGTATATAGAGCATAAGAAATAGAATTCCCACTTCGGCAGTCTCGTTCTGGTATAAGTGATCTTTGAAGACATAACAGTATTTAATTGCAAGCAGTTGCATTATTTTTTATTATATTTTATTATTAAGAATTTAAGAAAATTTTCCTTTCTTTTTCACAAACAATTACATATTTAGTGCGGAATCAGTATTATGATCAGACAGTTTTGTCGGCTGCAAAATGAGGATCAGCCAATGTTTGAGATGCATTTCTTTGTGAGAAATTTTTCTTTGTGTCTAATGTAATTGTGACTCTAATGAGAAAATTCTACGATTTTGCTACCATTTTCAGTAAATTACTCAATCCGCAACAATCAAAACCACCAAAAGATTGATATCTTTCCCACTACTATTAATAAATTAATTTAATTAATGAGGCAAACTTATAAGTTTTTTTTTTGATAATAAGGATATTGGGATCCTCTTCAGCTTCTTGCGAATGGATATTTGCCGCATATAACTTTAGGGCATATCAGCCATTAATAACAAATAAAGGGTGTGGATAGTAGAAAAAGTGCAATTTTGTGCGGTCAGTCTAAAACTGTTAATTTTGCTGGCTCTTGACCCAGTTTGCTGGCTCCTGACCCAAAGTTTGTTTAGAAATTTATAAAAACGAGAATTATAGAAAGAAGGATTATTTACAAAAAGTTGTTAACTTTTTAGTTATAAAAATACCACGAACAAATCCCATTTATATTTTTTATTAAATTTTGTTTAATATTCTTCCACGAAAATTAATTCGCAAATCCCAGTTTCGGATAGAGCACTCAAAAAACATATAGAATAGAAGAAATCAAAACTATCCCAAGGCTTTCGGGCTAAGGATTTTTTTGAGCATAATTTCAGTAAACTATAATACGATACATCTAGGATATAGTATAGTGTTTATAATGTTTAGTCAGATATTCTTCCCTATGTGGTGCGGTAATAGCTAATGCGTTAATGTGGAAATTGACAGTACCGATTAATTATTGAACTGGATATTCTTTCGTATTTGTTTAGATTACTGTTTTTAAATATTTTAGTTGCTGTTGTGGCGCCCCTCGTTTCCGGCGCCCCGGGCGGCCGCCCGGGTCGCCCGGCCCTTCCGCCGGCCCTGTATATTTTTATATATTATATACTTACGTGGATAAATCAACGCCATAAGTTTAGCATTAAAAACCATGTCTCCAACACGACATGCCATTTTCAAACCTTCTTTATTGCATTTATGAAACGTTCAATAGGGTTGTCTTTTCCCAGGACCTTGCTTTGCGCAGGCGCATTAAAAGCTGCGCGTATTTCCAAAATAATCACAGTTTTATACGGTTTAGAAATTACAAATTATAAGTACATTGTTATGGAAACCAACTTTTCATTGTCATCATATTGTCATAATCCTGTCATAACCATATGTCATAACCTTATTTCCACTGTGCAACGACGCTGGTTTTTTGCGTTTTTTATTTTAAAAATTGTATTAATTATTCTTTTATCGACCGCAAGTGTCTTCAGTGAGAAGTTAATTTTAAGTTTGTGCAATTATGTTTCTATATTTTTTCGTTGGACTTTCTAAATACTCGTAAAAATGACTAGAAAGTATTTGGTGTATGATGGAAGTTCTAATATAAAGGACCCCGAATTATCTTTTCATAGGCAAGTAAAGTATTCAGTTCTTTTATTTATATTAAACCACATGCATACTTTCTGGTTAGATTTCATAAGAATATTGATATTCGTATACGCAGTGGCTAAATGTATTTTTTATATAATTTAATTTTTGTGACAGTAAAAACAGTAAACATTAAATTTATTGTTCAAATAAATATATGCATTTTACAAATTAAATCTTTAAAATTAATGTTCAAATTTGGCGCGTGGACGATAGGTCCTCAACAAGGATAGATAGAGTAAAAGCACCGCGTGTGCAACAAAAAAAGAAGATAAATTGACGTCGTTCATACGTTTGCGACAGTTTCCATAGTCATTTACTTATTCACGTAAGTATATATGATCTAGGAACAGAACACTGTCTCCTCAACGAACACCTCAGTAGTTAGAAGCTAAGAACAACGCGAATGCAGATTCTGTGTGGAAAATGGGGAACCATCAGAAAACCTCATCACTGAGTGCGCCGAAACGACAACAATTCGCGCCACGTCATGATCACGATACGCCGCCGCCGCGCGCCGCCATGTACTAAAAAAATCTCGAATTCAAATAAGTATTTTTTATTTTGGTTTTAATTTCTTAATCCAGGAATATTCATGGCTTTTTCCAAATTGGTATATGTGGTTTGTTTCGCTTGTCTGTTTTTATAGAGTTCACTTTTCGTATTTCAAATATTCCATTGCTTAAGAGTCTATTAAGGTGCACTCACACCGGCTGCGCCTCTCGGCGCAAAACAGTTTTTCACATGTACTTTTGAAGTGTATTTTTTAGCGCGCACAAATGTACCTATATGTTAAAAAAATTATTTGCGCGGAGCGGCGCATCCGGTGTGAACGCACCTTTACGCTGTACTTTCGGGTCGCTCTTGGGGGTCGTGTAAAGCGGGTGGGTGGCCGAAGGAAATATATATTATATTTCAGAAATCTGCCTAAGGCTTAGTCCGATCCTGTCGTGTTAAGCCATATCCAAAATACCAAACACACGTTCTTTGATTAAGGCTTGATTAAGGTTTGCAAAGCTTCAGCATTTCCCATAAAATAGCGAGCAATGTGTTACAAAACCGTATAAATTATATATCACTGTAATCACAAAACTTGTTGATGTTTGACTATCAAAACCTTAAAAATAAAGAAGTTGTCTAAAAATGTGCTACAATACGGATATAGTATAATCCTTTATCTTTAATTTCCTTCTTCATTTGTGTAAAAATACTTTTTACACGCCAGTTTTACATAAAAAGTTAAATGCCGAACGCTTATTTTGCTACTTTTTCGTACTAGTGAAATGGACTCTTAAAATTCACTAACAAAATTAACTGTCGTACCTTTCGTCAACCTCTCGTCAACTAATGCTCTTGATTAAACACACGCGTTCGGACGTGATTTAGTAGTAGCAAAGTTTACAGACTTCTGTAAAATTTGGTGGTAGTCATAAAGAGAGATAATAAAAAGAGAGATGCAGATTGCATAGTTAAATAAAAATTAGAACCGCATTCACCAGTACTGCTGTGACAACTGGACAAACTATCTACGATAAAATGAGTGATAATCAATAAAAACACTCGACGTTCTAATAATCTCACTCTTATTACTGCTTGTTCAGCTGCTTTTACAAGAAGATGGAAACAAAAACGTCAGTCGAAGCTCAATTGGTACAAATTTAGGACATTTGGTTGGGCGACTGGAAAACAAAAATGCGATGCCAGTTCTTCTAATTTAATCTGCGACGCTGTTTTTATTATTTTTTCTATGGTGGTAGTTTAGTAGTTAGTTGCACGTGGTGGGGGACTCTACTCGACCGTAAAAATAGAATAGGATCGTTGATTGAAGAAATCAGAAGATGCGCAACCTTATGGGCGATTTCGTGGCACAAAACCTGTCCGAGATGTAGCTGTCGTTAACGTCAGCCTCTCCGAGACTTAGTTTAGCTCTGCGCCGCTGCACGCTGATTGCAGCGGATAAGGAATACTGTACCGTAGTTCCGCTTTTAGTCGACAGAGTGAGTGTTTGCCGGAGATAGTGTTCAATGTAATGTTCATAACCAGAACTATTGATTATCTGTATATTTACGAATTTTGGGTACAGTACGTTAATAATACGGATTTTCTATCATTAAACAATTTAATATAATATTAATTGATTAAACAAAGAACGGCGTCAGGGTTGGCTTGGAAATGAAGATCGCTGTTTTTTCATATGTAAAATATGGTAAATGGCAATAATCGTCTTTCCCAAGCGAACTAAACGACTTTTTTTGAATACAATAAACTGACTTGGTTTTACATAAGATCTAACAACTTTTTATAATAGAAAAATTGTGTTGCGAGCCTTGGCATTTTTTACATTCTATGATTTGATGGGATCTCATTTCTTTTTGTAGTTTATCCTCCTATTATTTTCTACGGTAATATACCATTCAAAATAATATTTAAGAAGTTTGATAGATTATTGTATAAAGTGAGATAATATCAAATGGATTAATTCTAGTTTTCGACTTGTGTTTCCGACTTTCGTTATAACCCAAATTTCAACTTTAAAAATGTTTAATTCATGATTTTACAAATGCTTATTGAAAATTATGTTTTTGTCAATTTTACACATATTGTTGCGGACCCGTGTGGACTCGACCTAACCTAACTATATGTCCCGCCCTAAGATGACCTTAACATCGCATTAAAAATAGACAATGTAATGATTCATTCGAAGTTTCGAGAAGAATCGAGTTCCACTGGAATGGGGTAGTACATACGAGAACATTCGAAACTTTCTCTATGCACCTAACGATCTATGGACTATTCGAGAAATCTTTAGCTGTGGGTATAAAAGCCGGCGGCTGGGGCCTGAAGAGGACAGATATAAATGAGACGAGTACAGTTGACGCGCTAAATTCAAAATAAATTCTTTCTAGATAAATAGTTGTAAATCGTTTGTAAATAGTTCTTTAAGTCTTTTATCGTTATTGTTTTTGTTAATTAGTGTTAAATAAATTGTGTTTAAATAAATTGTGACTAGAAAGTCACAATTTAGAAATCCACACGGAACCGACGAAAAACGTAACAATATTTTATTTTTTATTTCGAAAACTATGTGAGATAGGTATGGGTAAGTATAAAAGAAAAAATTATGAGATATAAGATTAGTTTCCAAAAATGTAATAATATACTGGATGTACCATTTAAAATAACTATGATAATATATAAAGATGCTACCAGCTTTAATTGATCTGGCAACACTGTAACGCTGATAATATTTTAGATAGATGGAGCAGGTGCCTTTATATAAAAATTCAAATTTTCAAAACAATCCTATCACCGGTCCTCCTATTATCCACCCGCGTCAGTTACCGGTAACGGCTAGACAGCTAACTTTTTATCCATAAGAATATTTCGGGACTTGTCATTTTATATTATAAGCATTATAAGCTTAATGCTACTTAAAATTCAACATTTGAAGTTTGTAACACTTTTAGAAGTATCTAAGACTTTTGATGACGGTGAGCGAGTCGCTGGCGAAGTTAAAGAAGTTTGACTAGAAAAAAATCATAATCTTTGAATTATTGTTGGTACATTCATATATACAAACAAAATCAGAAGAGACCGCTTCGACTAATTCTAGTTTTCTACCATTTTCTCGACTGGAAAGTCAATTGCCGGTAGCGGCTAGACAGCTAACTTTTAATCCACTAGGATATTTCGAGATTTTTCATTTTTTTTTCTTTTAAACTTAAAGTTACCTAAAAGCCAAAATTTGAAGTTTGTAACTCTTCTAGAAGTGCCTTAAAATTTTGATGATGTGTCAGTGAGTCAATGTCAAAATTAAAAAAAAAATGACAAACGATGAGGTATAATTACTAGATATTTTGGTAATCTAGCGAGCTATAGTATGTCCTCATGTGTAGTGAAAATTAATATTCTTGCTTTCTCCATAACGAAGTTACAGGGTGGTGAAAAGTGCCGCTAATACCTTCGAGAAAAAGATGGTACGGCTGTGCTCTCCTTGGCTGATGTAAAATACAAAATTATAGAAAAAACAACAAAGCTAACTGTTTATATGCCGTAGATGGGTATCTATAATTATTAATTATGATTCATAATCTTATCGTTTCCTTGAATGTGGTACACGATGATTCATTACCGACACTTGTCGGACTTTCATTGTCTTTATTTATTTTAAGTTATAGACTCAATTACACACTCATATTCATATTTTTATCTTCCTTTGTTTATTTTATTTTTATACCTTTCTAGTAGTACTGATAATTTTTTAATCTTTATAGATCCCTTTAAATGCAACTAAAACTAATTTAATTATAGGATTATAGGCCAATTTATTGATGTCAATTATCGATATGTATCAGAACTATTTTTGATTGACTCAAATATAACATTTAATTATCTATTTTATTTAACGTATTAAATTAAAGTCAGAGATATCACCTATGATAATCAAATTCAATATATTTATTTAAAAATACATATTGAGGTATGTAATATGTTATCATTATTCAATAAAATGTCTGTAATATAAAAATAAAACTTATAATAGAAAAATACTTTTCTTATCTAATAGTAGATAAACAAGGATAGTAGTCAAGTACCACAAATATTTTTTAAACTACGTGTGTCAAAAACACAATCCTGATACAAATTTATTATTTATTATAATATATTTTTATACATAGGTATACTCTCGTTTGGAGACTTGCTATGTTTCAAGAAGGGAATGCATATCTAGTAATATAGTTTTAAAATAACTATTGTTTATTAAACATTATTTTATTTAAAAACCAACAATTAATGCGAATATTGATAAATTTAATTATTAACATCCTTAAATATTGCTTAATATAAAATAGTATATTTTACATTGGTATTTTTTTATACATATTTATACATATATACATATGAGTGGATCCTCATCCCTTGTTTTCCGAAATGGGTTTTGGGATTTACAATATTGGTGTTCACCTCACAATATGTAATTTTAGGATTTATTTATCTACCATTTAGTACTAGACTACCGTATTACTTTGATATTTTTAACATAAAATTTAGTTTTATATTTCGTAGTTAATTCCGACTATCTAATAAAATGTTTGTAATTTTAAATACAGAAAATAATCTGTATTTAATATAATAATCTACATATATAGAGTGTCCCAATATTCCGTGAACATAGAATTACTACGTGTGTTAATTGGGCATAATACTTTACCTTTATACAGAAGTTTTTCGTTTGTCTCTTAGAGTGCATCAATTTTTAAGAAAATCAATACATTTTTTAAGATATTGTAAAAACCGATATTCCAATATGAATGAGATTCGGGCTTCTTATATTTTGCTATACGCTTTAATATTTGATTTTCACAACAAAAACAGAAAGGGTAGAAGAAGGGTGAAAGCCACCTTCATCACTACATCAATCTCCCAAGACGACTGATTTTTTTTTCGTAATTAGGTCCTAGTATTTATTACATCTTTTATTTCTAAATTTAAAATTATAGTTCATCCAACAACAGGATTCCTGACAGTGACAATTATCTCTATCTTAATTCACAGTCAAATTGCATTTTCCCTCATTTTTTGGATTTTGTCTTCTGTCAAAATCTTCCCTCATTCGTAACACAATTAACGTTTGGGTTTATTTTGGACTGATGGTTTCAAAGTATAACGGATAAACGAAACAATTTTTGTATATACATAGGTAAATTCTGTTCAAGTAACATATTTTTATTAAAAAAAATACGTAGTAGTTCTATGTTCACGGACTATTGGGTTCTTTTATACAATCAAATAAAACCACATCATAGTAGTTTTTGAAATGACTCAAATGTAAAAAATGACTGTAAAATTATTATTATTTATTAAAAGTGACATAACACTGTCAGAATTATTATATGAATAAAAACAAATAAAATTTCCGTTAATCATTCACATTTATATAAACGAAATACTAATTACTGATAACTTTTTATGTCAATTTTAAACAAATAACATATGGGGGTCGACCACACCAATAAATCCATTGTCATTTTAAAGGTCTTTGCTTCAATCATATGGTATTTATAGATTTATCCAGGATACTGAAAGTACACTCTTCTAACAGTATACTTCCTGTATGCCTGATTTGAAATTTTTGGATGGCATCCTGTAAGCTCAAATGGTGCATTTAAAATCCTACACACTAAGCAACTGAAGGTCTATTATTAAGACAATTCATTATTTCTTTCACAATACCATTAATTTCATCGGTATCTTTCTGGATTTGCAACAGAATGTGCCTGTCTTTGTTCCTGTTTAGGTAGAATTTCTTTGACAAGGTCGATACGAAAGCAGGCGTTTGTTTTGCGATATCTTGGAGTCTAATAGTATAATAGTTTCTACATACGCATTTGTTTATTCTAGTCATTAAGCTTACTACATCTTCTCTTCTACCGTAGGTGGAAAAGTTCTTGCACAATTCCTGAATAAACCACGAACCACTTTGGGGATCCCTGAACGAAACATTACCTAGAAATAAAATTATTTATTGCATTGAGATTTTTAATATAAATGACACGAATTATCAACGTATAACTTTTATTAGTGTTGTAAAAACTGCTATGAAATTAATATTATAGGATTTGATAGTTATATAAAATATGAGTATACTGAAAAAATTATGGCTAATTAATATTTCTATAATAATTATTTACAAAGTAAATTTAGCAATACAATAGTAGACAGATTATAAAAAAATAGAGTGGTGATGAAACCGTGCAAGGAAAATAACTTCATTATTTTTTTTCGTTCTACATAAATCATAGCACAATATCTGTACTAGGGTTTCCGGAACTGGTACCATAGAAAACGGGATTTCTCGATATTGTCGCTACTTGCGGTGCAGTGCGTCATTCGGCAAGCAAGGGATGGTTTTCTAAAGTAAAATCAAATAAATAAAAATAATAAGATATTGAGTTTTAAATGAAAATAATATAACATTATTTAGGAATCAGTCATGAGAAAATTAACATGAACACAAGGGAAGAAAAAAACGAAAAAAACATAGGTAACTTAAAATTTACATGAAACAAAATTGCTTCAATACTTCAATAATTGCTAATAAACATTATAGGAACTTCGAATGAACTTCAGATGTATGAACAATAAGAGATAGCATCACTAACCAAACGTCCATTGACCCCCCAATGTGAGTTCCATTATAAATAATTAATATATTCATCATTATTATCATCTCAAATCCGAGGGGTCATCTCCATCAAAGGGCAAGAGAGAGAGCGAGAACCTCTCACCTCTGCTCCGGCAAGGGGAGAAAAAGCCAGGATGGAAAGCCGTCCATTACCGGGAGGCAAGCAGGGACGTATCACCAGCTTTGCTAGAATTCCAATGTAAAGACATCGAGTTAGCGAGTTATCAATTTGAGGGCCATGGTCAGGTTCTTACAATGGGAATTGACTTCAAACCCAATGAGGCAATAGAGAAAGAGGGATATATGATCTATTATAGATTATATAAAACCAGTATCAGGTCTAAGGAGAGACCAAGTTAAAGAGATCGAGAAAATGAAGACATATCTTTCAGCCTCCACCTCACACGGGTACCTCAGTCGGAGGCAAGCTCCTCGACTGTGAAGGGCACGAAGGGCTAACCGCCTATAAACCGCCCAAAAGCCACCACTTGTGTTTTGGCTCTAATAATAACTCTGTATTTGTCGGTTTTGTGGAAACTAAATTTTATGAACTACATCAAGCCCTCTCGAGGTAACACGAGGTTATATTTGCGTAATAAGATTTCTGTGAACTTACCTTCTATGGTTGAATAAGCGATAAGCATATCAGGTCCCAATTCTCCCGGTGTTAAGTATCTATGATCAATTAGAGGAGGCTTATCTTGTTTATCTTTGTCTAGTTCAGCTGTCGAAACGGCAAGTTTTGCAGAAAAATATCCTTTGCATGCCTGTATTATTAAGTTATTTTTAGTCAGAAATGATCAATTTAGTATACCGGGTGCGTCTCAAAAGTGGCTCATCCCTATAACTTTTTTACTTTTTTCTGATGAAAAAACGATATTTGGTGTGTTAGTATATAACATAAATTAGGATTGAATGACGTATTCAATTGTTTTTGGTCACTTCCTGTTTCACCAGAAGTGACTACAACTTTTGATTTTTAAACGGCACCCTCGGTATTTTTTTACTTTGTTCGATAGAAAATGACATTCTGAATAGAATGACAACCAAACCAAAATCGTATTTTAAAATTCAATCTAGAGTGCCATGGCTATGTTAAAAACACTAACTCTTAATCAAGGAGCCTTGGAAAAATGGATTTGATCGTCCTGGGGCGCTATTCTATACAATCGTCGGTATCGGTAAATTACCGACAGCTATCGGTACGTACGGCCAATGAGCGTCGTGTTGATTGTTGTTGTCATAGTTTTAGCTGTCATTAATAGGACATATGGCAAATTTGTACCGACGACTCTCGGTATCTCTACCGTGAGGTTAACAAGGGCACGGTAGAGATACCGATTTTTGTCGGTACACATTTGCGATATCTGCCATGGCCGATCGGTAACTATGACAACAACAGTTAACACATTTTTACTATATACAAATACGTATCGGTAAGTTACCGACAGCTATCGGTACGTACGGCCAATGAGCGTCGTGTTGATCGTTGTTGTCATAGTTACCGATCGGCCCTATGGCAGATATCGCAAATTTGTACCGACGACTCTCGGTATCTCTACCGTGAGGTTAACAAGGGCACGGTAGAGATACCGATTTTCGTCGGTACAAATTTGCGATATCTGCCATAGGACCGATCGGTAACTATGACAACAACAATTAACACATTTTTACTATATACAAATACGTATCGAGAGCTGTCGTAACTTACCGATACCGACGATTTTACAGAATAGCGCCCCTGGGGCGCTATTCTGTACTATCGTCGGTATCGGCAAGTTACCGACAGCTATCGGTACGTACGGCCAATGAGCGTCGTGTTAATTGTTGTAGTCATAGTTACCGATCGGCCCTATGGTAAATATCGCAAATTTGTACCGACGACTCTCGGTATCTCTACCGTGAGGTTGACAAGGGCACGGTAGAGATACCGATTTTCGTCGGAACAAATTTGCGATATCTGCCATAGGACCGATCGGTAACTATGACAACAACAATTAACACGACGCTCATTGGCGACAAAAATGTGTTAATTGTTGTTGTCATAGTTACCGATCGGCTCTATTGCAGATATCGCAAATTTGTACCGATGAGGATCGGTATCTTTACCGTCCCCTTGTTAACCCCACGGTAGAGATACCGATAGTCGTCTGTAAAATTTCCTATATGTCCTATTAGTGACAGATAAAATCTATGACAACAACAATTAACACGACGCTCATTGGCAGTACGTACCGATATAGCTGTCGGTAACTTACCGATACGGACGATTGTACAGAATAGCGCCCCTGGCCAGTTAGTAGATGCTTAAATCGTATTTTTAATCATATCTCATTTTTTTTCAAATGGAACGAGGGTGGCTCATTAGCACATTTGGAAAAAGCATTTTTTTACGAATAATTTGATATCACACACTTGGTATTTCGAGTCAAATTTTCGTTACGAACCGTAAGTTATAATTTCAAGTAAACCATATGCGAAAATGTCAAAAGTTGACATATGATATGTCATTATATTCAGAGTGTTATTTTCTATCGAATAAAGTAAAAAAAATACCGAGGGTGGCATTTAAAAATTAAAAGTTTGGTTAGCTTGTGATAGTGTAGTCATTTCCGGTGAAACAGGAAGTGGCCGAAAACAATTGAATATGTCAATAAATCCTAATTTATGTTATATACTAACATACCAAATCTCGTTTTTTTATCTAAAAAAATAAAAAAAAGTTATAGGGGTGAGCTTCTTTTGAGACGCAACCTGTAGGTATGTGTATATTATTTTTTGGTATTGTAGAAAGATATTATAAAATACTTCCAATTGAAAACCATAGATAAATGGTTTACTATTATCTAATTTTTAGAGAGAGTCCAGAAATGGGTACATTATTTTTATTATACAGGGTGGTCCGAATTGTTATCGGGAAACATCAGGTATATTCTGCAGATAAAAATAAGTAAAAAAGATCGTATAAATTTATGTCCTAAAATGCTTATTTTCGGAGATACAGGGTGTAGAAGTTTCATTTTTATTTCGATTTTCTTTAAATAATTTCTGAATTAAGGTCGATATTTGGATGAAAATTGGTGTCTGGGTGTTTTTCACATAAGTTAATTAATTTTTTATTTCGATGTCAATATGACTCCTAGTTGTAGGAGGTGACACCTAGATGTTTTTGAACTCTTTTGAAGAGTAATAACTTTTCATCCGTTACTGGCAGAAAAATATACATGTCCACCATTTTACGTAAAAAAGTTCTTTTGGTAAAAACGCAACGAGTAATGGTTCTCAGGATATTTGGAAACTAAATAATCAATATATGTCATTATTCACAAAAATTAAACATATTTACTAGAAGGTTCGTAGACTGAAATAATAAATCTGCATTTTTTTGTGCCAAAGCTGCAACAGACACTGTTTTATCATATTTTTTTAGGAAAATTTATAATTAATTAAAAAAAAAAGTTCCCAAATTTTTACATAACTATGTAGTCAACATGTCTACTTTTGGTCAGTGATGACATGTATTGTTGCGAGTGGAAAATGAAGGTACTGAGATGAGACTAACTATCAACCACCAAAAAAACAAATTAATGTTCGTGGACAGAGGAACAACCCTAGACAGATCTTTACAGCTTAATGATATCGAAATGGTTCATAATTTTGTTTATCTCGGTTCAAACATAAACGACGAAGGCAATTGTAAAATAGAAATTAGACTCAGAATACAGTTGTTTTACTGCCACAACGCGCCGTATATAAGAATATGGCAGAGCAGAATAATAAAAACCCACAAAAAAATAATTTGCTGCATACAATTGTCTTCTCAATATTTCTTTATGGAGTGGAATTCTGGACCATCAGATCGTCGGAAAGGCGCATGATAGACAGTTTTGAAATGTGGTGCTACAGACGTAGACTGAGAATACCTTGGACAGCTAGAAGAACGAATCTGTCAATAATAAATGACCTTAACTTAAGCACCCGACTGTCGGCTATCTGCCTGCTATCTGTCAGCTCTGAAGACAGATTAGCCTGGAAAGATCTTGTCAAACCAAAAGTATTCTAATAGAAGTCACGACCCTCAGCTATGAGGAACGATTGGAGAGAGAGAGAGAGAGAGAGATAGAGAGAGACATGTATTGATAATTTTCATTTCAAATATCTTGAAAATTGTTGATCGTAGCAATTTTTACCAAGAGACGTGAAAAAGGCGGAAATGTACATTTTTTCACTCGGGAGTTTAATACAGTTAAAACACTTCCCTATAAGTAATAAGGGTAATAGTCATATTGACATGAACATTTTCTATGTCAAAAAAAACCCAGACACCAATTTTCACCCAAATACCGGCATGAATTTTTTTTGGAAGTTATTATGAAAAAATCGAGATAAAAATTAAACTTCTACACGCTGTATCTCATAAACGAAGCATTTTAGATCATAAATTTATACGAATTTTTTACTTTTACCTGCAGAATATGCTGCCGAAGTTTACCGAACACAATTCGGACCAGTTTGTATAATTTTTTGTCTGGATTGTTATGGGCATCTTACATTATCGAGTGAGCAAATAAAATATACCTATACTTTATTACGTTAAAAAAAATCCAATACAGGTATAAAAATCCATTTGAGTCCCTCCGGATATTTTTTGAAATATCTTTAAAATGTGGTATACCATTGCCAACATTTTAAAGATAATACACAGTAATACATAATTTACAATTTGGAGTGAAATCGACAAAGTATGTTTTCTGGTAACAGTAGGCCACATAAATACATACTTGTATAAAGAACAATTTAGGTTTATCTTCTAGTTCTTCGCATTCCATAAAATGTTTCCAAATATCTTTAGTTCTAAACCAGCCATCAAGAGAATTTAACATTTCGTATTCCTCTCCGTGCGTCATTACGAAGACAACCAAACAATTTGTATTTTTTAATCTCTCTTTATCGTTCAAAACTAAAAAAGTAATTCAATACAATTATTTTTTATACAGATAAATCAACATATTCTCAATATAATTTAATAATAAGAGTACCTAGTAATTAATTATTAGGTAATGATTACACGTTAAAGATTTGAGAGATTAGAGCCCAAGTTTAAAAAATTTGAATTTCTCAAATTTAATAAATAGTACTGAGTCTGAGGTTGATTCCTTGTGAAACATCGTTGAAATATTAGTATTTTAATAAAACACGCTTTTAGATGTATCAAAAAAAACCGAAACATACAGGTTGTTAACTGGACAGTTATTTATCGGGGAACAGAATGGCAACACTGCCTATTGAGAACGCATGCACTTACAGGGTTTTCTGCCAACTCGTCCCGTCGCGTCGTCTATCGACGAGCGGGCCGAGGTTGCAATATTTCAACCATAAAGCTTTTGCCGCGAGTAATAAACAAATTAACAACCTGTATAAGTAGAGTTAAAGTTACTCTTATTATTAAAAAAAATTGATACATCTAAAAGCGTGTTTTATTAAAATACTAATAATTTCTCAAATTTATTCTGAACACTTTGTAGAACCTAGTTAAAATACACTCAGATGCAACAAAACGCAACGGAGAAATCTTTGGTCAAATTTTATAAAGTGTTATATTTTTGTTATTTTTAGCCCTATTTTTATGATTTTTTAGCAAGCTGTATATAATTATATCAACTTTAATTCGTAAACTCAAAATTTTTATAAACTTTAGTATTTGGCATATTATAAAGGGTTAATTAAGGGGTTGTTTTTTTACCTTAACTTTAAAACACCCTCTGAAATAATTTCGCGTGTAAGTTTTCCTAAAATATAATTTTATGGTCAGAACTATGTCTCTTGAACATTTTGTTTTTTGGATCATGTCAATACATACTTTGGTTAATTTTTAACAGCGAAATGAACTTGCCACCAACAATTTGCAATTTTTTCAATTCTCATTTCTTTTAGAAGTTATATTTCAATATGACAAGTCGGCTTTGGTGATTATTGTGAACTATATACTACTATGAACTGCCTATCATGTTCGACGTTTAGGAAATGCTTGGCAGGAGGGTTATAGGTCGTGAAGCGGTTCCAGCTTTATTAAGCTGCGTATAAATATGTCGAGACGAGTGCGAGAGACATCCGAGACGAGTCAACCTCAAGCGGATTTGAGGTTGACTCGTCATATTGGGACGGGGTCTGAGCTTCGAGCCGAGCCTATGCCCAGCCGGACGGCGTTGTCTCCGTTTTCTCCGGAGCCTTTGGCGAACCATCAAAAGGATTGGAGCGTCTATTTAACCAGTGGCGTATACACCGCGATATATTTCACGGCCCCTCGGAGTATTTATCCTCGGATTCTCAAGGGGCTCGGATTGATTATCCGAGGAATCCCTCAGTCATAAATATTTTTCTCTGTATTAATATCTCAGAGGCAGAACCTGAATAAATACCCGCCGCTGGAGTTAGTGAGTGAACTGTCTCTTACTGTTTTAACACACTGAATTTATATATTACTTGAATGGCTTGAATAGTATTGTAATAAAATAAATAATTATTTTTAACACTTTTTAATAATTTTAATATTTTTGTGTATAATTTCATGTAAGAATCGTTTCCATAGGTTTTACTTTAAATTGTGCTGATCTTGTTTCTTTAACTCCGACTTTGAGACTAATCTGGCAACCTTTCAGCTGCTTTCAGACCAAAATGAAATCAAGAGTAAATCTGAAATACGGGCGGCTTTTTAAAGGGCTCGTTATTTATTTAATCGGCGGTCGGTCATTGAGGATAAAAAATACATTTATTTTACTTTTTAATAGCGTATTTCACTGAAAATAAACTGTAGTAACTAATAGAAACTGTGGTAGTATTGTGTTATTGTGCATATTTTAAGTTTTTTGTAGACCCATATCTCAGTTTAAAAGTCTATTGCTTGGGCACAGCTTAACTAATAATCAGAAAAAATATTAATGATAGTTGTTTCGGATTTTCCAACCTCTTTCTCTTGTAGACCCTCATAATAGAAAATATTAACTAATGAAATTTACTTAAGGCTTACAACAGGTCCAGCTGTCGCTGTTCGAAAAAATTAAATAAAAATAATATACAGGAATATTACTCATTATTCTGGTTGTAAAATTCCTCAAAGCTAGAAAGATGCAATTTTGTCTTCTATAAAATAGTATAGGTAAGTTAGCCAAAGTAGGTAAATCTCTGACATACAAAGATTTATTAGTGATTTCTTTATAAAAACATGAAAAATTTTATGAAAAATGAATAAACGTAATGAACTTTTCGTCGAGTTATTAACGGCTCAAACGTAAATTATGCGCTATTTCTGCTGAACGGAATTAAAGATGTAAAACAAGCTTCTTTACATATAGGATACATAGAAGATAAGAGAGGCAAATCGAGTGTGTTGAAAAAGGTGGCCATGCTCTCAGAAGTTCCTTACGGTACTAAATAAAGGTATCGGTACGGTATAAAAAAAAAGGTACGGTAATAAATAAAGGGAATCGACAAAGAAAGGAACGATTCGATATAGAAAAATCCAGAAATTTGAACTATCCAGACTACTAAGAAACTTAATTTATGGCAAATATGAAAATAATAAAGTTCCCGCCATAGAAATAATTAAAAAAAAACTCTCCGAGCTTTAAAAAAACCCTGTTCAGAAAGCACACATTACGGCGAAGGTTTAAAAACTGGGAATTAGATTTTAAAATTATATACATAATAATATTTTAAAATTATTAATAAGCGTGCTGCAATGATGGAAAGCCATAGAATAATAATGTGGCGAATTGAATACCTTGAAAAAATATACAACTTTAGAAATGAAGAAATGCAGATATATTATTTACAATATATGTTCCAGGTTAGTTATTGGCATTTAAATGTAGATTTTTTTAAATTAATAATTTAAATCTTAATTACTTAAATTTCTAATTTTTTAAATAAATAAAGTCGAATTAAGTTTTATCTTACAGCGCTTTCAGATGGAACGGAGCGTCCGCGACGGACCGTCCGCGACTTCGAGCAAGTACCAGGAGCTTATATGAACAATTTCACCGGGGTCGCGTATGCTCCGTCCGGATGGGCTATCTTGTAAAAACATCCGTGCGGACGCTCTGCGCGTACCATCCCGCGCGTACCAGCGCTCCATCTGAAAGCGCTGTTTATAGAAATTTATAGATATACAAACTATAGAAATTTTTTTATAGATATACAAACCACATACAAAATATATTATTGAATAAAATAATTAAAGACTCAAAAAAATGGCAATGGCAGAAGGCTCCGCCGCCGCCGCTGCCGTGCCGTTATCTCCAGGTAGCTCAGTCGGCGTTCTCCAGTTTTTTTTTATGTAAACAGTCCCAATATAATTTAAATTTATCATGAATTCCTTTAATTTATCTAGCTTGTTTTTTTACCTATTTTGAAATTAAACAAACATATACAGGGTGTTTCTAAAAACATGTTCCATCTCTCGTGGGGAAGTTCCTCACGTAAAAATAAGATTTATTTTTTATATCAACCAATCCAATTCTGCTTTGATTCGTAGCTACAGGGGGTTAAAATAGAGTTCGCAACCGTCCTCCATTCCAGAAACAGTCCTCTTTTGATCTGATTGTCCTCTTTTCTCTCACGTATTGAAAACTTTGTTGCATACCAACTTTAAAATCTAAAAAATATTCGTTTATCGCCACAATGCTTTAAAGAATTGTTAATCTGTGTCTTTTATGTAATTTTATGTTTACTTACTGTTAGTTTATGTCTTGAAAAAAAGTTTTGTTGACAATGGTTTGCTTTATTTTAAGTTTTGAGTATAAATATTTTTGTTTGTTTTAAATATTTATCGCATACCGTTTATATAACTTTTTGGTAAATTCTCGACATTTGAGCGACGTTTCAAAAATGTTTCGCCTGTGCCTCTTTTTATCCTCTCGCCCCTATTTTTTATTTTCAAAGTTGCCAACCCTAGGTTAAGTGTTTTTCATTTTCTTCCAAGTGCTTTTAGTAATTTGAGATCGTTTGATGACTGATTTAGTTCTGATCCGGGTAGTTTTTTGTATAAAACAGTGCCACCATCGTCGATTTTTTTCGTTAAATGCGAATAAGAAAATATCCTGATTATATTCTGGCCCTATCCCTTATTATTTTTATTTACAAGCGATCTTAAGTTTATAACATATACATATATTTTATTTAATTGTTAACATTAGGGTAGTTTTACCAATTGTGTATGTGTGGAATTCCACTGATATGTGTTTTAAGTTGTTTGTTAAATTTTTAAAATTTTTTGATTGTATTTTGCTCTCTTAACTTTGTAGTGTCCTGAAGATGCAAATAAATTTTGCGAAACGTCGACAAATTTAAAACAAAGGACTTCTGTTGATTTTTTTCGATCCTAATCCAATTAAAAAACACATTATACTTAAATTTATTAATTAATTTTTTAAAATATTGAATGGTATCGAATAATACTTTAATATATTTATCAATATTTTAAAGTATCGATACTTTATATTCAATACAACCGATACCAAAATATCGATACTGCCTCAGTATCGCACAGCCCTATGAAGAATTTTGTGGGTTCGCCAAAGGCTCCACTGAAAATGGATAGCCGCGAGACAACGCCGTTCGACTGGGCAGGGACTCTGCTCGAGGCTAAATCGCTCGGCTCGAGGCTATAATATGACGAATTCCGCTTGAGGTTGACTCGTCTCGTCCTCGTCTCGGCATATTAGTACGCCTTTTGGAAAGAATTTGCTATAGCCTCGTTTCATACTCGTTTCGGGTTTGTCTCGTACTTGCCTCGGCATATTTATACGCGGCTTTAAATGAACTTCGCATGGTTCTTAAAGAAGAATGGGATGTGGAATCCGAGCCCCTTGAGACTCGAGGCAATTGTTCCGCGGAGCCGCGATGTATACGCCACTGGTTAAATAGACGCCCCAATCCTTTTGATGGTTCGCCAAAGGCTCCGGAAAAAACGGAGACAATGCCGTCCGGCTGGGCATAGGCTCGGCTCGAAGCTCAGACCCCGTCCCAATATGACGAGTCAACCTCAAATCCGCTTGAGGTTGACTCGTCTCTCGCACTCGTCTCGACATATTTATACGCAGCTTAAAGTAGCCTACTGGTGAATGCGACTTATCCGTTACGAAGCTGCCATAGTCGCGGGTTCGTGGCAGCCAAGTATTAGCCACTGACATGTGGAACTTTCGTTAAACTGTTGAACTTGATTCGCAGCGACCTCTTCATGCAATTTCATAAAAATAAATGCCATGATGGAAAATAATTATGGAAGCCATTATTATTTTTTCGTTATATAATTTGTTATTTACCGTGCGATTTTAACGCCTTTTTAGGTAAATTCCAGAACGCAATCAACTTTACTGAATAAAATAGTGCAGGGTTTATATAACAAAATTTTCGAGCGCCTCTCAAAATATTTTAAATTAATATATTATTTACATTAAAAACTCATATTTGAAATTAAAAAATAATAATAATTTGCTTGAAACCGGGATTAAACTTTAAAATATTAGTCCACCGTCAGAAATAACAAAATAACTAAGGAAAAAAGCTTTAATCTTGGTATATTTAGCTTAAAAACGCATAATGTTTGAGCCATTTGGCTGTTCGTCTAAAAATCCATGAAAAAAATATGACCGTTTAATCCGAAAAATACTTTATAGTTCCATATGCTTCCACAAAGTACCGGGAACAATAACATATTAGGCCAACCCTACCCGTTTGGACCTTTAAAATCTTCGGATTGATAAAGTGACAATTGTAGCTATCCAACGGCGACTTTATAGAAACAATAACTTTTTTGGAATTACATGGTCAACGAATCTTTGGAACCATAAAGTGATTTTTCCAAGAAAGTTCCCTGCGCCACCCAAATTTACACCGATCGCGGTGGTGGCGACTATACATTCCATTGGTGCCACTATAACGTTCCGCCTTGTCCTTTGAAGTTATTTTTTACTTATTGTGCATTTTCTATTATAAGTGTTTCTATATTATTCAGAGCTACATGAGGTATAGAGTATTTTAATGCCCACTCTTTTAGCTCTTGTTGTATATTGTTGTTGGTTCTCAAATTAGTTCTCCTCTGAGATTCAGTTTCAGATGAACTAACACTACACTCATCTACAGAAACAGCTTCAAAAATGTCTCAGTCGCTATCTGATTTATGATGTTCATCAGTAGGACTATACAAAGGTGTAGTTTTTGTTTCTGATGTTGAATGCATCACATGCATTCCTTTTGTTTAATTCTTCGGTAGAAAGTAGGTACTAGAATTTCTAAATTTCTTTTTATTCACCTTAGGGATTTTACAAATTTTTAATAAAGCTTAAAAACAAGTAAAAGGAAACACTAAAACAGAGCAGCACACGATGCAATATGAGGCAATTATATTTATTAGGGTATATTAAGTTACGGTCACTATAAAGTAGCCGTTTTTGACCCCCGTGACTTTTTAGTGGCAATGGATGAGCGACGGCTACTTTATAGTGACCTAGGAAGGTAGCAGTAACCATTTTGCTACTTTCAATGCTACTATAAATTAGAAGTAACTAGGTGTCGTGGCCGCGACTACCCAGTAACTTAAATTGTTACTATAAAGTAACAAAAACTTAATGGAGGCATTATGGTAGCACTTGTTGGCAACCCCTACTTTGAAAAGTTACTATAAAGTGTTTGGTCTTGTATGGTGTCATATTCGAAGATTCAGGTAGTTCCAGCCACTTAAATTACATGTTTGCGACTTGCAATCGGGGTGTTTATTTTCCACTTTTATTGTAGGTAGGAACTAACCGGTCACTCTCGAAATATACTTCAAAGTGACTATTCCTTATAGAGTAACATTTTATGTGGCAGAGTGGGTCTAGGAACTATACTTTAGGGGCAGTGACATTTTAAAAAGAACTGGGAACTATATTTGCTAGTTGGGATATGCAGCCTCTATGACAGTATGAACGGACGTATACAGGCAGTTATAGCAGCCAAGAGAGACAATACAAAGTATTAAGGTGTTTTTTTTTCTGTTTGTATACTGAGTATTACAGATGTTCCACCTGTCTCTCGTCATATTAAAAAAATATTTTTGATTGATCGCGATCAGTTTATTTCGCTCTTAAAAATTAACCAAAGCATGTATTGACATGAATCAAAAAACAAAATACTCATGGTCCTGACCGTAAAATTATATTTTAGGAAAATTTACACACGACATTATTGCACAGGGTGTTTTATAGTTAAGGTAAAAAAACAACCCCTCGATTAACCCTGTATAATATGCCAAATAGTAAAGATTATAAAAAACTGAGTTTACGAATTAAAGTTGATATAATTATATAAAGTTTGCTAAAAAATTCATAAAAATACGGCTTAAAATAAAAATATCACACATAAACACTTTAAAAATTTGACCAAAAATTTCTCCGTTGTGTTTTTTTTGCATCTGAGTATATATATCAGAGATTTTTCTTTATCTCTATAAAACTCTCCTAGTAATTTTTAATACTAGAACTAAAATAATTCACATCCACGAGTTGGCATCAAAAACGAAAAAATTGACTAGGTAAATATGGGTACTTTCGAACAATATCGGTTTCGTAGTAAATATGTGACAAATATTCAACAAAGTTGTTTTTACGGTTAAATTACTTTTTTTCAAATATGTCAACTTATATTCTTATAAGTTTCATAGACAATCGCTCAACAAGACCTATAATATATGACTTACTTTGAGCAATTTTGTTTTGAATTCGCTCGGCACTGTAATCCGTACACACATCTGACTCGTGTATATTAAAGCCCAATCTAGAAAAACAAATCAGTATCTCGTTAACATCTCTTCTGGAACCTAGTCTCGGCTCATCTGAAAAAGTCTCATTGTTGAAAATCAGTACTATGCCTGGATCCGTGCCCTTTCTAGGATAGTCAAAATCGGTATCCAGATTCAAATGATGTCGTTCCTGGAAACGCTCACCGGGTATCTCGTCTAAAACTTTAAGAGTCTTTTGTCAGTATAGAGTATAGGCCAGTTATAGAGATACAAAGAAAACATATTCCCTGACTAAATAGAGCAAATTGAAAATTGCCGATAAATTTTTATTTCGCGGAATAATAAAATTCTGTAAGAACATTCTTAAAGCACTTTACAAAGCAAAATCCAGTGCAGTAGCGTAATCAGTGTTTTTCTATACTTGCTGTTTCTGTCAGAAATAAAAATATAGTTCTTTTTTTAAAAAGAAATTATAGTTTGCTATAAACTTAAAAAAAATATCGATGCTTAGCCATTTTCAAGAATATAGTTGTAGATATCTATTTTTAAAATAAGGGCAATATTTGCCTTCATTTTGTACTGACATTTTTTCCTAATTATTTTTTTATTACAATTTAATATTGTATGATATTATTTATCTACATATAAAGTTTTGCCAACGTCATTTAATAATCTATATTAGTAATATCAAGTACAATGAAAAAACGATACAAGGAACAAAGAACAAAAATAAATGTAAAACTATTTAAAAAAAAATTAGTTATTTATTAAAATATACTCGTTCACAATGAGATCGATAAGAAACAGAAATTTGTTTTATCAAAGCAAAACCTTTGAAGGCGGGTAAAAGGACGATACAAACAAAGACATTTGTTTAGTTACAATTGAGAGATAGCAATTGTCAATTTGGAAGATTGGAAAATGTCAACGTCGAATATGAATTTTATTGTAAGACTTTTTGACAATGAATTTGTGATGATTTATTAATGTACTTTATTACTGTATCGTAATACAATAAAACATGTCAAAAGAATCATTCTTAAAAAATTGTAATATTTTTTTAAAAATGATTCAGCAGATTAACTTTGCTCTATCAGATTATGCCTTGAAGTAGTTAAAATATAAATCGCACTGATTACTAAATGAATCGATATGATAAGATACATATCTTATCATATTGATTCATTTAGTAATCAGTGCGATTGGATAAGATGATTACAGAGGCGTAACAAAGATAATAAACTTACTGATGAGATGAAAGACGGAACAACTTCTACTAGCCATAGCCTTTCTAGACTTTGAGAAGACTTTCGACTCAATATATTCTAAAGCAATAATAAAAGCCCTAGCGAAAGAAGGTATCGATATAGGCCTTATATAGAAATACTCGTCAATATATACAAAGAAGCCAAAGCAAGAGTAATTATATTCGCGTCCAGTCCGAATGTATTATGTTGATTTTGCTATACGTAGTACCCTTAGGTAGTACCGTCCCTGCGTGCACAATTTTAAAGCTATAAACTAAATTCCCTCCCCTTGCTAGTTTAGGTGGCGGCGCCGGCCCTGGCGCGGCGGTCGGTATCCATTCGTCTTTCGTGCACGGCAGTGCACAGTGCAGTGCGAATCGCAGCTCTCCGATTTCTGCGTCGTAGATCGATTTTGTTTATTCTCTCGACCATTTTGTTTATTCTCTACTCATTTTGGATATTACTATGTAATATACGGTGTTCTACAGCTAGGTAGAACACAAGGAACAATATGTAAGTATTGTATAATATTTATTTTTAGAGAAAAACGAAGTGGACGTAAATAACGGAATATTAGAATTAGATAAAAGAAGAAAACAATAAGAATATCGCGAGGAAAAATACTGGGTTCTCGCAGTCAAGTATTAAATGTAAGTGTCTCAATCAATTCGTAGAGATGACCATATGAAGATTCACTGTAAGTCAATGAATGTCATATCGAAATTACAGGTATATCACTGAGTATTATCTTATAATATTGATGGTATAATTAATGTGGAGGAAATAATTGAAGATGAGCTGTCTAAATGTAGAAATTAGAGGCAGGCAATGAGCTGGGCTGGGCTAAATATCAAACGCTATCAGCCCCGGTGAGACAAGGGACTCCCTGAAAGAATAGCCGCTCTCCGAGACTAATGCTCTGAGGGTTAAATACGGCTATCATGTATTAAAATGTTGGTAATTTCCTGTTATAGAATGCCCTCTATCGTGAGTGGATCAGTTCATCTCTCTATCCAGAAGAATATTATAAACTGCCGAGACCCAGCTTCAGTGTGCAGAAGTCAGAGGCTGCGGCCTCATGATGACCCACTGAGAGATCGTGATAAAGCAGAAATTGGGCAGGCAATGAATGTGAAAAAAATGAGCTCTTCCTGTTGTCCTCTCCGTGAACAAAGATCATTTTGAAGAATGCCCATGCTTGTTGAAGATTCCTATGGTTCTGAATCTCGCTGAAGCTGGATCTCCAACAGCAAGCAAGGCTGTGGAAATGAGTAACGGATGTAAACAGACTGTTTCCCTGGTGAAAACAAAAACTGCACAGAAAAATGCCTAGCTCTTTATAATTTTAGATATAAAACTCTCAGAGGTATTGACATATATTTAGGTGTAAATGTTCCAGTGAACAAAATTTCATGCTGATGCCAGCTATTGAGACTGCTGCGATATCACGTGTACACGTGATACATCTTCAAGTCTTTAAGTATTTGACACAGACAGTAATTAGTAATAAGTATAAATGAGATGAGAAGGAAAAACTAAAGGGATGGCAGCCAGCCTTTACGGACTGTTCCCAATCTGTTTATAACAGACAAGGTAGCTGCACAAGCCTCCGTGTTGTTCCTTTTGGATGCTCGAATGTCGGCAACAGTATCTCAATGATACAGAAGTACGAACAGTGAATGCCCTTCTTACGTGAGGACTACCTGTGCGTTCTCAGTCTCGCTGAAAGTAGACTCGCAAAATTTCAAAACAAATCTAAAATTGAGCCCTCAACAGGAAACTCCTCCAGACATTATGTACGTCCAAAAACGTCATATTGTGTCTCTTTGGAATCGGGCTCTCAGCAGCACTAGGAAAGAAAGAAATCTGGCGATTTATTTGGAAGAGGCTGGGCTGTTGTTCGATGATGTTCTTGAGGAGTTAATTCAGTGTAACCAATGATCAGCTTCGCTGGGGCGTCCCAATATGCTGCTGAAAGCGACAGTGAAAAAATATTTTAACTCTGGTACAGGCCATGACTCTGTCATGGTGTTAAGATGAGGTCAGCATGTCGAATCAACTTCTTAAAAAAATGTCTGGGTTAGAACTGGCTGTGGGCGTGGGCAATATTCTTTCAAGGAAGAAAATGTTCATGAATATAATATGGAGACAATATGGGCGATTGTTACCGGGCGCATGTCTGTGGTTGACGTATCTTTAACAGGCATCAGCCCTCTGGGACCTCGAATGAAAAATCATGTTTGAACAGCAGGAAAAGGTAAAACAGGATGTATCCCATTGTGACAGATGAATATCTTTGCAACTCCTTCTTTGAAACGATGCAGGCCACCCTCGGATTTAAAAATGGGCGACCTGCAAAAACTGTCAGTAATATCAGTATGCTCAATAAGGTAGCTAATAATCTAGATTTTCATAGCTAATATATATATATATATATATGTATATGTATATATATATGTTATATATATATATATATATATATATATAAAAACTAATTTGTTTTAAATTCGACTATTTCGGTGGTAACTTCTTTCAGGAGCTGGCTTTAATAAGCACAGAGATGAGATTAATTCATATCGTGGAACAAGAAGGGAAAAGTCACTAGTGATAAAAAAAAATAATAGTAAACATATAAGTGTAACAGTCATTGAATGTCTAAGCACGAGGCATTGCAACTGGAACAAGCATTCAATCAGCTGTGCTTTGAAGCCAGTACATGGTTCTTAGAAGATCAGCTACTGTTCACGTGGCTTATCTCATCTGTGCTCACCGTTGATTCTTTTTATTAAATTTTGCTCTCTCGCATTAGGCTTCAAACGACAATTTAACACTGCTGTTTTATTAACTTTCTCAGCACGTCATCAGTCTAACAATCGATATCTAGATTACAGATATCTTAGCTTAAGTGTTCAAAATCCGATTATAGCAGTTTTATTTTTCTGTATATTCACCATTTCCAGAAACAACCTCTTTCCATAACTCTTTTCGAAATCCAACACTCGTGCATTGTCAAAATCAAAATTATGCCCTGTGTTTATATGATGGTGCACTACAGCACAACTGTTCTTTGCTAATCGACAATCAAAAAAAGCAAAAAAAGTGAAGTTCGATCGTAATTATATGAGGCGTCCAGTCCGAATGTATTATCTTCCCACCCTTCCCGTTTTGCCCCATGGTCGCTTGAATTAATGAATAAATCTTTGAAAAATGAATACCGACCGCCGCGCCTGGGCCGGCGCTGCCACCTAGACTAGCAACGGGAGGGAATTTAGCTTATAGCTTTAAAATTGTGCACGCAGGGACGGTACTACGTATAGAAAAATCAAGATAATACATTCGGACTGGACGCCTCATATAATTACGATCGAACTTCACTTCAGGTAAGTTCGTTTGATCGTATAATTATATATAATACAACCCCTGAGTTCTCAACTGGCAAAGGAGTGCGATAGGGTACATACGGGAATACGTCTTGTAGTTCTGAAGAACTACAAGCAGAAATTAACGAACTAAATACAGCCAGCAATAAAGTAGGTCTCAAAATGAATTTAGCAAAAACTAAAGTAATGTACAACGAACTAGTAGACAGAAAAGACATCCTAATAAATAGCACAACACTGTAAATAGTAGAAAAATAGGACAACTAATACACCAGCTTGCGATATCTACTGCCAGAAGTCAACAGAAGAATTAAGTTAGCATGGAGTACTTATGGAGGAAAGTCAGTCATATTCAAATCTAGAAGGCCACTTTATCTAAAGAAAAAAACATTCGACCTATTTGTTCTACCAGTAATGACTTGGCATGCATGCAAATCCTGGACACTTAAAACGGGCATTATAAGGAAACTGCATGTCGCACAACGCTCAATGGAACGAAATATGCGGGGAGTAACTAAAAAAGACCCTAAAATAATAGAATGTATACGACAAAAGGGGGAATACAGGGAATAGATGGTCATCTACAGAATCAAATCCCCCAAATGACAATGGGCATGATACCTGGCAAGAAGGACGGATAAAAGATCGACCACAAAAATTACAGCACCCACGAGGAGTTAAGAGACCTAGAAGAAGACCAAACCTGAGATGGGTCCATGATATTAGGAAATTAGCAGTGATAACTTGGGCTCGCATAGACAACAAGAGACAACAATGGGCACAACTACAAAGAGAGTATCTAAATATGTGAGGGAGACTACACTATAATTGGAAATGGTTGAATAAGCTGAAAATGATGACGATGATAAGATGATTGATCAATTACTTACCATTTTGCGTCTGTTCTTCTGTATTGATTTGGTTTGGTGCAGAAAAGTTATTCTGCGCTCCTAAAACAACTAAGAAAATAACAAAACGTTAAAAATTGTCAAGATAATATAAATATTTCCTAAACATGTCATTGAATAAAGAGATACAAAATAATACTGTAAAAAAGTAATCCTTTTATTTTTAATAATTTGAAGTGTCACAGAATGTTATAGAATAAGAACACTGTAAACTAATAAATATTATTTTTAAACATTTTTATTCTCACAGAAAATATTATTAATTAAAATATTAAGAAAAAACGAATATAGCAATGAATGATAATAAAATAAATTGAGATTGTAAAAAACTTTGGTTCAGTAATCTAAATTTACATGTAGTTATATAGCTAACATAACATAAAGTTGGACCAATGAATGTATGGATACTTGACAGTGATATTTGTTATCTGCCATTTTAATTTACAGGCAAAATAAATTTTCTGTAATTTTTTGAATGCCACTTAATAATATTAATATGCTTATATAAAATGGTGACTACATGTATAGGTACAGGGTAACCTACAATGTTTAGAACAACCACTATAACAGGATTCCTATTCGAATTTTAAATATAATATCATAGATATACTGAGTTATTCAAATATAAAATACTAGCGTGTACCAAGCGAGTTCGTTCGCGTCGAATTAATCATTTGTAATGGTGATGATAAAGCAAAGCAAGAATTTCCATTAACATAAAAACTGAATAATCTTTTCTCACATTTATGTCAGCATGAGCAAAAACAATATGGCGATATTATTATATAACTTGGTAATATTTGAGGGGTAGTTTCATCTCGTTGGAATTTGACTTTCGAAAAATTCGGTTGCCAAAAATAAGCTTTTTACGTCAAGCAGTTTAAGCAGAATCGTGGTTAAGAAATTACCCTACTTTTTCGAACACCCTGTTTGATTTTTTAAAAAAATTCAAAATATGTAAAAAACTAAATAAATTATGCTTGTCCAAGCGTTTTCTCGAAAGACTAACCGTCTTTTAAATAACAAATATTGTACTATTTGAGGCGTTTTCACCCTCTTGGAATTTGAGATTCGAGAAACCTCTCCTTATCGAACCTCTACACACCACAGTCAATCCGTTTGCCAAAAATCAGCTTTAAACGTCAAGCAGTTTAAGGAGAATCGTGATTACTCAATGGTCATATTTTATGAAACACCCTGTATAAATTTATAAAAAATCTTAAAATATGTAAAACTACAAAATAAAATATACGTGTTTAAGAGTTTTTCCGAAAAACTTTTTTTAAATAAAAAAATATTTTAATATTTGAGGGACAGTTTCACTCCCTTAAAATTCGAGTTTCGAAAAATCCCTTCTTATCGAACCTCCACACCCTAAAGTCAATCTGTTTTCCAAAAATCATCATTTTACGTCAAGCGCTTTAAGCAGGATCGTGATTAATCAACGACCAGATTTTTCGAAACACCCTGTATACATTTTCAAAAAATCTTAAAATATGTAAAAAAACAAAATAAAATATACGTGCTTAAGCGTTTTTTCGGAAACTTGACCGTTTTTTAAATAAAAATTATTGTAATATTTGAGGGGTGGTTTCACCCTCTTGGAAGTGGAATTTCGAAAAATCCCTTCTTTTCGAACCTCTACACCCTAGAGTCAACCTGTATGCCAAAATTGAGCTTCTTACCTTGAGTGGTTTGAGCATGATCGTGATTATGTCAGTCACTTAAGGATTTTATACCCTGCTGGCAAGCGAACCTTTAGGTCGGCGTTTACATGTGAGTCGTTATGGCAACCTAGTAAATCGGAGTGAGCAAAAATACGAAGTATTTATTACATAACTGCTTAATCTGAGGCTAGATTCCATGCGCTTGGGAAAATACTCGCCTTCTGTCTTTATTTATGTATATCTTTTACTCAGTAGATTTGCAAATTTCATTTTTTAAGGTGTTTATTGCTTGAAAATCGTTATTCAATATTTATTTACTGCTGGATAGAGAATTATTCAGGTATTTTTTATTTAGGTTTACATATTTTGTTTTACTTACCGTTATGGTTTTGGGCTGCTGATGTCCTCAATCCTAAAAGAAATAAAATATTAAATAAAGAGTTATATACAGTATGTCTCCGGAATGTTTTTACAAGAGGAAAAACTTTTATTATTGACATTTTGAGAAAATTTGTTGTTTCTTCTAAAATGGTTAATCCCCTTCATACTTTTTCAAATTTCCATACCGTTTTAGAGAAAATTAAAAGAAACATGAAAATCTAGTTGAGTTTTTTGAAAGTCCTAAAAATTAAAAGGCGTTGGTAATATAATTTCGATTTCATTCTTTGATAGATCGTTATAACCACGGCCTAACCCCAACCGGTGGGAGGTTATATACCCTCGGAGGAAGAACATCTAAATCCTCAAACATGATATTCTAAATTGGTTCTAGACTGATCAAGTTCTGATAAGTTAAATGAGTTATAACTCAAGGAAGCGGGACACAATAGATCTTTAAGGTCACAATGATTAACCCCCCTCCCACTCATTCTACATTCCATTTAATTGATACATCATCATCATCATCATCATTTAGCTTATACCGTCCACTGCTGAACAAAAGCCTCCCTTAACTCTCGCCATTTCCTTCTATTTTGTGCCACTTGAATCCAGTTTCCAGCCACCCTCTTAATGTCATCTGTCCATCGACTAGGAGGTCGTCCTTTGCTTCTATAGGCCTCGTGTCTCGGTCTCCATTCCACAAGTCTCTTTGTCCACCGTCCATCTGTCATCCTAGCCACATGTCCTGCCCAATTCCATTTAAGATGTAAGACAGATATCACCGCATCTTTTACTCCTGTTCGATTTCGTATTGTATGATTGGGTATTTTATCTCTCAGTGTAACTCCCAACATAGACCTTTCCATTTTCCGTTGCATGACCTGTATTCTATGTATGTTCTTTTTTGCCAAAGTAAGCGTTTGAGCTCCATACGTGAGGACAGGCAAGACACACTGGTTAAAGATCTTTCTTCTTAAACATATGGGAATATCAGATCTCAGTATATGCTTTAGTTTGCCAAATGCGGCCCACGACAAATCTATTCTTCGTAGAATTTCGTGGGTCTGATTATCCCTTCTAATACCGATCTCATGCCCTAAGTATTTATATATATATGCACTTGTTCCAAAGGTATGTTATTAATGTTTAAATTTCCACTTAGTACTAGGTTTGTCATGTATTGTGTCTTTGACAAGTTAATTTTCAAACCGACTTTTTCCGAAGCATCATTCAGCATATCCAGCATATTCTGTGCCTTCTGTATGTTGTCTGTTATTAAAATAATGTCATCTGCAAAACAGAGATGATTTATCAATTTGCCATCGATGTTAATTCCTGTCGAATCCCAGTTTATCATTTTTAATATACTTTCTAGCACAGCAACGAATAGTTTAGGGGACAGTGTGTCGCCTTGTCTTACCCCTCGATCGATATTGAATTTATCTGTGCATTGATTTGTCGATATTCTGACGTTTGCCGTGGCACTATCATATATATGTCTTATGATTGAGGAGTATCGATGATCGATGCGACTCTCACTTAGTGTCTCTAGAAGCTTCCGCTGGTCTACCGAATCGAAGGCCTTCTCGAAATCCACGAAGACAAGCATTAGTGGTCTATTATACTCAATGCATTTCTCGATAAGGACCTTGACTGTTAGAAGATGGTCATTTGTTCCGTAACCTGATCGGAAATCTGCTTGTTCGCTCGAAAGAAAAAAGTCTATTTTATTTGTCAAACGCTTGGTGAGTATTTTAGTAAATAATTTGTATATATTTAATTGATACACACTATATAAATTTAATCAAAATAAGTAATCAAAAAATACATAAAAGGGTAGAGCTGATATATTGATAATAACGCAATGGCTACTGATAATTTAAAATAAATGCGCGTTAAAATAATTGACATTAAAATGAAGTTTAAATAAAGTTTAGGCTGTACTTAAACTACCGTTAAACAGTAGCTTACTAAAATGCCGTTAATAGGTATGACGTCGTTGATGTGACGCACTTGACGGCTTTATAAAATATAGGAATTTTATAAGGACTAACCAACTCTATCCGCCCCACCAAATAACAAACTTAACCAACGCAACTAACCTTGACACTTGTAAAAAAATATAAAAGACAAATATAAATTAGTACAAACCAACCAACCCCACCAAATAACCAACGAACCAATGAATTAACACCCTCCAAAAAACCACGCTAACGAACCCGCCAAATAACTAAACCAATTCAACCAAAAAGGGTGAAACCAATGCAATAAGATCACGCTATAAGCAAAAAAAAATATAAAAAAGTCTTGGTCCGGCGTGAGATTTGAACCACGGACCTTTCGCTCACGAAGCAATAGTCTCAGTCACGGAGCCACAGGTGCTCTTGCAAAATGCCTATCGCTAGGCATTACTTTCCGCCGACATCAACGACGTCATAATATCTATTTAACGGCTGTTTAAGTACATCGTAAAGTTTATGACTTCTCTATTCACTTTATTTCTTTCTATACTTCAAATTAACCAAAAAAAAGTAAACAAACTACTAGTGAAATGTTTGGTTTAATAATTAATTTTTGGATAAATAATTTCGATAAAATTGAGATAGAGATAATGAAATTGTTATAAAGTAAATAATATAAGACTACTTACTGTATGATTGAATTTGTTCTCCGGTCATAGGCGAAACATCTGTTTGAACGTCCATTTTTTTCACTCTGATGGTTCTATTCTCGCCTAAGTAAAATCGTTATTGTTTTGTTTGATTTCTAGGTGAACTAGATGATAGGAATCGATAATAAATTTTATCTAATCTTTTACTAAATAACATTTGACTCATATTATATTTCTGGGATATAAATTTGATTTTAAAGGCATTAGTTAGATTTATTTTCCATTTCATTAGATTTTAAGAGAAAGGGAATTCCCTCTAGAGTCTCTTAGTTTTAAAAATACATAGGGGAAGGACAGAGAGCCCCGGACACTTAAATCGATTTCAAATAAAACACACTAATTATAAAATTATTTCTGAAGACTATAGATAAACACAATCCTCATGTGTCTAGTCTTTGCATTCATAGCACTGAAACCAGTCTTTTTCAAAAGATCCTCATATGATTGCATAGTTGCTGTATGTCCTGCAAATTGCATTGGGTCGATCCACTGTGCGACGACGGGAAGAGATATACTTCCTGAAACGTTAAGTCGCGTCCACACTTGCTGCTCAGCATTGTTTTCAACAATGTTTCGCAACATGTTTACGAGAATTTCATTAAAAAGCAACAATTCGCATGTTTCTTCAACAAGTTGTATGTTTTCCGTCAGGAATGGTAAAGTTCAAAGAATGTTGACAACATTGTGTTGGCACCATGTTGCGATTACGTCCACACTGGCTTTTTGTATTCGTTTATTTGAGTTTCATCTTTAGTTTTGTTTAGTTGGTTCACCGGTTTACATTATGGAGGACATGGTGTACATCACCATGTTTAGTGTGACACCGGTGTACATACATCATGGACCTCCGGAACTAGTTTGGAAATACTCTGCTTCGATACTTTGAACAAATACATCAAACTGTGATTTTATTTCGCGATATTTATGTCATTATGTATAATATGTTTAAAAGAAAAATACATACTATGTTGTCTTAATTATGTATACAGGATGCTACAAATTCGAGGTACGAGCATTGGTATCTCGGTAATCGTAATAGATACGGAGATGGTTAAATTGGGGCAAAGTTGCGCTTTGGGATGTTCACCAAGATGCCACCAATTTTTTTTTAAAAATGTCAAGGATTGCTGAGTTTTTTGAAAAAAAAACGGAATTTTTTGAAAATCTATTTTATTTTTTCCTGTCGTTACTTTTTAGAAAATCAAAAAACTAATTGCACATTCTCATAGCCACTTTACTAGGGCTATCTGATAGTATTTTTAGATTTTCAAATTAGCTGATAATTTGTGAGATACAGAGGCCAACTTAATTTTTTTAAATACGGACCTGCATTTTTTATTTCAGTTTTTGAAAGAACTCGGTCTCCTGAGTACGATGATATGCCACACTTGATAATTTTTTTTGTTTCGGACATTTGAACACATTTTATTTAAACTAATTTTAAGTTCGGCTCTGTTTTTTTTTTCAAACTGACTCTCTTGAACAGGTATCGCATCTCTAAACCGAGTGTCATTTTTAGATATTCTGTATCCTACTTTGTTTATTAAAATTTCAAAATCCGCATTTGACATTCGCGCAAAATTTTTGAAACTCATATCACATCGTAGTTCGTCGCTCAGCGAAAGAATAACGTCATCAGCTTGCAAATCGTTTAACAAATCACTGCCACTAAATTTTTAGATTTATCGTGAACACAGAGTAGGGCGCACCCAAAATCTTCTTTTTTTCTTATTTTTTTCTCTGAATGCTAAAGTTACGCAAGCTGCAGCCGCGAGAAGAACATCCCTTTCGCCGGACATATTGGAATGGACTAAACAATAAAAATGTTGCATTGGGCTTCCAATTTCCAACTTTTTGAATGTGGACGTCCTAAATGTTGTCAACAAGTTACTGCAACATGTTGTTAAGTGAAGACGGGTCTTTAAGCATTTTGTTGTCCATTGGACAAAATTAGTTTATTAGTTAAACACCACTGACAAGTTGGTGTCTGTTGAAGTAATGAAGCGGTGTTTACAAAAAATAACTATTTTATTTTGTAGATTTTCTAACAGTGGAAGTGGCGAAATACCCGTAGTATTTTTTTAAATATGTATTTTCTATGGTTAAGACGTATAAGTTGTTTAACGAGGTGGGTAAATTTTAGATTGATGAGTGGAGGGGGTCGCAGCACAGTCGAATATGGGGAATTTTGGGTTCTATGCTTGAAATAGATATTTTTTATCTTTTCTACATTTTTATGTCCCCGGATTGTCTTTACAAGAGGAACACTTTTTTATTATCGACATTTTGAGAAAAATGCATTCTTCATAAAAATTTTTGCTTGCTCTAAAATGGTTAATCTCGTTTATACTTTTCCAAATTTCCATACCGTTTTAGAGAAAATTAAAAGAAACATGAAAATCTAGTTGAGTTTTTTGAAAGTCCTAAAAAATATGAAAATATTGTTGAAGTTTTAGGTCCTCAAAATCAAAACGCGTTTCTATGATAATACCAATTCAATTTCATTCTTTGAGAGATGGTTATTATTAATTTTGATTAACGTCATATTATTTGCTGTTGTTATCAGATTTTCCGACAACTATCATCACCCTGTCCGTAGCACGTAGCATTGAACTAAATAAATTTTGTGCTTCTTTAACATTTTAAAACAACAAAAAATATGACTTTAATTAAAATTCTATGAATAACAATCAAACCAAACCAAATCAAAGAATGAAAACGAAGTTATATTACTATAGAAACGCGTTTTGATTTTTAGGACTTATTAGGAAAAAATTAAACAATATTTTCATATTTTTCTTAATTTTCTCTAAAACGGTACGGAAATTTGGAAAAGTATAAAAGGCATTAATAGTTTAAAACAAGCAAACATTTTTATGAAGAATGCATTTTTCTCAAAATGTCAATAATAAAAAAAGTTTTCCTCTTGTAAAGACAATCCGGGGACATACTGTATACTTTTTTGTGTTTAAACAGAAAAAAATCATCAATATTATTTAGTACCAAAATTGAATACATTTTAAAGTACACCTACAATACAGGATAGCACAACTGCAGAACAAAAGCAAGGATAATCCTGCAAAATTCAAAACACTTATTTTGCGTTTTAAAAATTCCGAAATAGGTACGGCCATCTAGCGCTGTTAACGCCAACTACTCGAACAATTCTCTCCTGCGGCGTTGCAGGAATGGTTTTGGTGCGGGCGCGGTCCGGCAGGCGTCGCCCGGCGTCGGTCTGGCGTCCTGCCGGCGCCGAACGATTCGACGCGGCCCCGGTGCGCACAGTCGAGAGCTCTGGCTGGGTCGTCGCGCTCGCCGCTCCATCTTGAGTAGAATATAGCTTGTGTACGGTGCGAGTGTATTTAGTGCGAACAAAATCCGATGTTTATATTTTGAAGTGTACAAAACTAAATCAAGAAATGTCTTCGAATAACCAGAAGCTATCGACCACTCAACGTATGATACAAGGTCAGTGCAAGAATGCGGCTAGAACGGCCGCGATAGCGGTTCTTCGCGCACTTCGCGTGCGGGATTGATTTTCTAGGCGCCATGACTATCGATTGCACCATTATTATGACAGTTTTCCGGTTAAAACGGATTATTCTGACGGCCATTGGGACGTGCGAGACCAAGGGGCGACCGGGGGTCTGCCGTGAGGGTCTCCCTGGACGACGACGTCGCCTGCCCGACCTGTCAGCGGCCCGCTGCGACACACGTCGCCGCCGCCGCTCCTGATTTAGCCGCGGCTCAGGCCAATGTTTACCATTTCGGGCACCAGTGACCTACCTGCAAAACCTCGCCGCTTCTCAACTCCGTTACCGGCGCTTCTTATGCCCAACAACCTCCCTGAGCCGAGCAGGGCTCACCTCTCAGCTCCCAACCGCCTCTAAAAATAATTTATTCCATCGATATTGACCTATAAACATTACAGGATCCCTTGGCATGTAACAGGTTGTTCGAAATTCCGAGAATCGTAGCAGTGTTACGCCTTAATTTCCGGCCGGATTTCTTTTTTCCCGGCTTAGCCGCATTGACAGGTGGCGTCGTCTTATCAGTCCCTTTGCTGCCAGTGGCGGTCATATGCCCCGCAACATCATCCACCTAAAAAGGATAATTCATGAAAATCTACCTCTACTATTTTCGACAAATTTTGCTTAAAATATGACGGCATATCTCTATAAACAACACTACATAGTTTGTTTGAATAGCTTTTATTCAAAGAATACATAAAATAAAAGAAGCCCTAACATAATAAACAACAGCAATATTTGAATGTCAGTAACAAATATATTTTTTATTAAAATTTAAAATCTAATAGGCTTTTTGTGGGTTCCTTCGCAGGAATTTCTGTTGCTTGTTCACCAAAAAAATATTTTTTTTTCTGATAGATTTAATCGAAACGATTCAAAGTAATATTTGTTTGAAATCTCAGATATGTAAAAGTAAAGTTTGGTTATAATTTAGCCTGTACAGCGAACGATTGATAGAGATTAACAATTTTTGTAATTTTAATTGAAATGTATGTTTTTCTTTTCATTTTTTCGATGTCGTTTGTCAGAATCATTTAAATGCTCGCTGAAAAAAGATGCTATGTATTGAAATTATCAAATTTATTTGTTGTTAATATTTTTTTCTATTTTTGATTCTTCTATGATAAGTGGCAGTCCCTATGACCACCCTTTGTGACCGCCACTGTCTGCTGCCCTATTTCCTTCACCCTCACGGATACCTTTGCATTTTTCGCCTCTCACTGACTTTTTGGAAACTTCTGGTTTTTCTCTACCAAGTACGCCTATCTCCGTCTCTGTCTCACTGTTATATGGGTGATTTTGTTTTAACTGTTATTTTTTGATAAATGCACGGGTTGGTTTTTAATAATTATTGTTTTATTTTGAGAATGGGATATTTTACCATAGATTAGTGTCTGTTAACATGGTCCTGGCATATTTCTTAAACTTAAATCGCAACTCAGATGACTTCCTTGCTTGTGGAAATATCCAATAATATAACTTAGGTGCGTTATAAGTATGTACATCAATTATTCATAAAGTATGATAAAAATATCAATAGAAAATAATTAATTAAATAATTAAAGATAAATTAATTAATTATTCCATCGATATACTAGCAAGTATATGTATGACATGTGCATGTCTCTTAAAAATTACATTTGTACACATTTCTGAGTTGAGGTACTTTTAAGATTGCTGCTTGTTAAATTTATATATTGTACAAAATTATCAATTTATTTTAAGTATAATAATATACACTAGGAGTTGAGTGTCATTAATAATTAATAATTAAATAATAAATAAACAACTTGACATTTAATGAGTTATGTTATAAGGTTTCTGCTGCAAAAAATAAAATATGTTTATGAGGATGCAATCCAATATCCAATATAAAAATTTAATTCATATATTGATAATGAAGCAAATGGTATAGGACATAAAAATCACAGTTAGAATCGAACCATTTATGAGTAAATAAACACACTAAAAATAGTGTGTTTGTATGTGCATGTTCCCATTTTTGTATGTTTTATGATGTTTGTCGTTTATGAGTACATACAAAGATGTGATTTTCACATAACTGTATTACTATTTTAAGAAACTAGAGATGCTACATACAGATTTGTCCTAGCCCACTTGGTTTCTGAAATGCCCTGCATTGAAAATGTTGCATTTTTCGACCCCCTTCGTATCTCGGTTATCTAACAACTGAGTTTCATAGATTTTTTCACGTAGAACTCAGTGGCGTAACTAGATTTTCGCTGGGAGCTGTCATTCTTGAAATATGACCCAAACTTATGTTTTTTTTTAAATATACATATATGTGTTTACGTATATTATTTTTTGTTTTATTTGCCTTGTTATGAGCCTTCTAAAAATATAGTATGCTCTATACTTATTTCTATAAATAAGGTAAAAAATGGATTATTTAACTTTTTAACATAGGCGGCTTGTTTAAATTAGTTAATCAAAACAAACAAATAATTTATTCGGCATCAAATTTTGGGTGTATATTCCAGACTAAAAAAAAAGTTTCTGTGTGTAGAGTTAGGTGCACAAGTGCATTAAAACATTGATAGGTTATTAGCTAAAAGCTGCACAAGTTCATTTTCGGTGCAGTTTATTAAGAAAACACGACGGAAAGCAAAATTATCTGGTTAAATAAAATAAAATAATAACACTTCTTTTAAACTAGGTCGATTTCTGTTAAAAAGTTAAATAATTAATTTTTCACCTTATTTATGAAAATAAGTATAGAGTATAGTATATTTTTAAAAGGCAGGGTGTTCCATTAAAAAAAACATAAGTTTGAGTCATATTTCGTAGAGTATATTTTTAAAAGGCCCATAATGAGACAAATAAAATAAAAAAATAATATACAGGGTGTTCCATTTAAAAAAAACATAAGTTTGAGTCATATTTCGTAGACGTAATGACAGCTCTCAGCAAAAAAATAGTTAGCCACTGGATTCTACGTTGAAAAGTCTACACAGCTCAGTTGTCACCTTTTCGATAAGTTATAGGATAATGAGATACGAGGGGAGTCAAAAAATGCAACGTTTTCAAATTCGCTCTGTATTTCAGGAGGTAAGAGAGCTAGACAAATCTGTGTGTAGCATCTTTAGTTTCATAAAAAAGTTGCTCAATGATCTGAAAACCCCATAAAACGCACGAATATGGGACACCCTGTACAGCGTTTTGGAGATCTTTGGCTTTAGGCCGATTCCAATTGGGACTTGGTGGAGATGTTTCGTGTATTGATATAAATATAACGGTTTCTATTTTTACGAAACTAGCAGCAACAACGGATACTTACGTGTGACTGCGTTAAGTACACCTCTTTCTTAAAATATATTATATCGGTCGTGAATCGTCATAATCCGCCACTATCGCAGCAGTTATAGACATAGAATTTGAGAAAAAAATGTTTTGTTTATTTGTATCGATACATGGACGAGTTCAAGGTCGAAAGTGTGTCGGTGATATACGGGAGACCTCGATATATAGGATATATGCATGTATAACAAAATTTATTATGCAATTTTTTTATGAAGATTACCCATCAAGATAATTTCATACGGAGCGACCAATAATGATTGAAATAGTTGTCGATACTGTGTTAGAGGAATTTAGGAAGCATTCAAAATCTCTTACGTATAGACTACAATTTTTAATTAAATATTACATATTTTCCTTATATTATTAATGTCGTATTTACAGTTAGGGCTTGGAATCTTTGGTGTTACAACAGCAAAATAAAACTGTAATTCACTACAATACACCAAAACACTTTACTTTTGCAGTGGGCGCGTGTTTCGTTAACCATGTTAGTATCGCGCATAGAGAAAAATATAATTAAAATAACTGAATTTATAAGGGCTTATTGTAATAATATGATAAGCCACTCAACTAGAAATCAGTTTTATTAACTAGTAACTAGTGTTTTGCTTGCCTTTTATCAACAGATTTGTTAGATAAATACTTAGCGAGTTAACTAAATAACCTAACACTAAAACGTCTTCAAATTCATATTTTATTAATAGTTAAATTTACACATTTTTTCAAAACTGCGAAGTTTAGGTATTAATTCAGAATTATGGATTTGTGGTATATCATGTTAGTACAATAAGCTCTTCAATAAAATTATAGAATGTATTTTGTTCAAATATATTAATTATGGATATTATTCCTAAGATACTAGTATTTTAATAAATTAGCGAGTTAAATATACAAACCATACTATTTAATATCAATCATTTTAGACCGCAAATTTGATAACAAATCTATAGATTTGGTTTTTAAATTGCTTTTTCTAATTCTTAAATATAGTTTAGAAAAGGATCTACCACATATTAATATGATACACCACACACACTTCTGAGAACAATGGATTTGTAATATTTCCAGCTAATTTGACATGATTACAATGTTGTTAAAATAAGTTAATGAATAGATAATTTTTGATTTAATAATGTTTAAGTAAATTATGTGCTGTAGGTTTTCTGTAATTTCATAAAAATATTTTGTTGTTCATCTTTTAAATTATTGAATAATCGCTTATAATTGAATTTCGCTTGCGTTTACGTCTATACGCAGTAGATAAAACATGCGAAGATGACTAGCTGATACTGAATGAACTGTGATAATATAAAGAAAATTTAATTTATTATAATGGAAAGTCAAAAATCTACAAGGTTAATGATCTTTATTATACAATAATGCTAATAATGCATGATAACTTAGTTTAAGGAAAATATATGCAATAATTTATTTTTTAAAGGTAAAATGATGTATATATTAGTATTATCCCTAATCAAGGGTATTACTATAATTATTCATATTTTTTTAATTAATTTTATGAATTATTGTGTACTCGATAATTCACGATTTTATAATTTCATTTGTACTTTATTATCTTATCAGGATTTAATATATTCCAAAATAAACATTCCAGTT